TTATATTTCTCCTCAAGTTCACGAATCTTTTGCTGATCTTTAGCCAGCTCGTCTTCCAGTTGTTTCTTACGTTCTTCTTCTCTCTTCAATTGCCGCTTTAATTTGTCCATTTGCTTCTTCGATGTATTTAACGAGGCTTCTAATTCCAAAACTTTCTTTGCAGAGTCGCCCGCTATTTGCTTTATCATATCTATATCCATCATTCGTTTCTCATAATGTATCGCTATATTTTTCATTAATTCAATTTCTTTCTTGTGTGTCCTTTCCTCATCCTTGTACATAGATGCATTTTCTGCCTGTGCTAATTGTGTTCTCGTGTTGTAATATTCCTCCTCCAGTTTACTACGTTTACGTTGGAACCTCTGCTTCGCGCTACTGCGCGTATCGGAATTTTTTATCATATCTGCAATAAAACGTTGCTTAATCTTAATTGTCGTCTGCAATTCTTCGATACGTTTATGCGCTCCATCCAAATTTGATTGAATTTTCTTCACTTGCGTTTGTTTCGCCTCGTTATTTAGCGTTAGAGCTTTCAATTCCTTGATAGGTTCAGATATTTCCGTGTTCTTGAGAACTTCGAACAATAAATCGGGTGAATTGCCATTTTGTATCGCAACGAAATTGTCGTTAATGATATTATCATTAATGCTTATTTCTGATTCGCGATTATCCAATATATACGGATTGATATATTCCGGGATGCGATTTTCAAGGATTTGATTTTGGCAAGATTTTCGGCTGTCATTAAAAGCTAATACTTCATTACACATATCGGAACCAGGCAGCATTGAGTTTCTCCTGGAATTTGGATTTCTTGTCGGTGCAGGACGAGACACCGGTACATAATTATTATTTACGGATCTCGTCACCGGAGATATAATCTCAACGTTTGCTTCTCTGAAATCATCCTTTATAGAATCGACAATTTCATCCGTCTCTATTTTAAACTTGCTCATGCACTCGTCCAGCTTCTCTAGAAAATCTGGATTTTCTGAACTCACATCGCTTTGATCGTCGTCCTCCTCCTCGTCCTCCTCGTCCTCTTCATCATCATCATCATCAACTTCGGATAGCTCGCTCTCAGAACTGGAGGTGCAATTTGGATTGAGCTTCGTTTGATTCCCAGATTCGTCCGTTTTCTCATCGGTCTCGGTTACTTCCTCTATGCGTTCTAACGATCTTCTAGCGTTCTCCGCGCATCCCTGTAAACTGGTGGTCTCGTCGCTGGCTATACATTCCTCGTATTCCTGCTTCATGCACAGCCATTGCTCAATTTGATCCTGATCGGTATGTGGTAAGACATTACTTGTCATAAGCTTCGTAAACAGACCTTCTGCATTAGAGACGAGCTTAGACCACTGAGACGCCGCAAACTCCAATCTAAATAAATCCGCGCTGGAGCTACGTTCGCCGGAAGTGGCAGGTGTCATTGGGTCGTGCGCCTCCTCGCCAGCCTGCTCGGTTTCCTCCTCGGTCAGCTGATGACGCTCGTGATCGTGAACCTGGTAGGATGGCATCATATCAATGTACGGCACGCAGCATCGATGATCCAGTATAGGCTGATGTTGAATCCATGGACTATAATGCATCATTTTACTCCCCTCACGTAATTTCGTCTAACGAGGCGCTCGTCTGCTCGAATACGAGCCAGTCTGCACCTATAAAATGTCATTTCCATCCTGTTATCTGTCTCATTGATTAAGGCAAAACCGTCGCGACGTATGAAAGCTATCCTCCTGTTAATCTCATACTCGAGCGAAATATTAAGGGCTGGTTGTTCCAGCCTGTTGGTAAACTACCTAATAGTTAAATCATATGTATGTCTTTGTTTATCCTTTACATTGGACAAAGATAGACATGTGATTTAACTATCAGGTAGCTTACCAATAGGTTAGAACAACCAGCCCTAAAAGGGCCGATTGTTTCAACCTCTTGGTAAACTACCTAATAGTTAAATCATATATATGTCTTTGTTTATCCTTTACATTGGACAAAGATAGACACATGATTTAACTATTAGTTAGCTTACCAACAGGTTGGAACAACCAGCCCTAATAAATAATGTAAAAATGAGAAGCTTGTTGTTTTCAGCTAAACTTTTTGCACAATTCATCTTTTCTCTTTTTCTTTTCATGTTAGAGAGAAAAAAAAGGGAAAATATGAACTGTATAAGTTCAACTGAAAAGAACAGGCCTAGAATCTCCGCGAAAGTGCCAGTGTCTAGATACTCACGAGTGAAGTTCCTAACCTATCGGGATTTCCCATGTCTCAGAACCATGCCTCGAAATTCCTTGTCTCGCGAAAGGGTCGCGACGCATATTACGTTCAGTTACGTTTCGCGATTTCGTGAATAGAGACACAGTTTAGCGATCGTGAGATTCCCTCGTCATGAGTCTGCGAGTTTTTTTTCTCGGCAGGCTCGACTGGAATCGATGTCAGCTAACGTTGAGAGTAGAGCCAGGAACAGACGGGGCTGCATATACGTTAAATTCGTTCTTTGCAGCTACATTTCTCCGCAGTTGAATCCTCTGCACTGTAAACGAAATATACGAATCCGTCCGCTGGCGCCTTTACGCGAACGAAATGCGAACGTTGAACTACATCGCCATGTCCACAAATATTTACAAGAGGTAGGGTAACGTGGTACCATGTTTTTGGTTATGTTCGCACAGCGACTGGAAATGTAGTTTTCTATAAGAAATTCTACCAAAAATTAAAGAAAATATATGCTTGTGGAACACTTAAGTTGTTTCGAAATATTTAACGTTCAGAAAGTTATTGTTTACAAGCATTTACATCTTCTAAGAAAACGATTTACATTCGACGGCTCAAATCGATTTTGATATTGTTCAATTTATTATTTTTATCAATGTAGATTAATTTTAATCTCGGTTCAATTTACCTTCTATTTTTTGACATTAAAGTTAATTTACATTGGTAGAAATGGAATTAGAAAAGAATAAAAAGCAAAAGCTATAGAGATTTAAAATGTTTAAATTAATCTACATATTGGTAGAAATGGACATTAGCGGCTGCGGATTCTGAAAGAAGGAAAATGCATCAAGCGAGTCTCACCGCAACTTTTAGATGGCGCACAGTTTCTCGTTGCTATGCACGTCGCTCTCGTTGCTAAGGTAAACTTGACAGGTGTTTATATCAGGAACGTGACAGCTTTGACAGCTCGCCTCGAATGTTACTTTCCGCGATAAAGCACGGTAATACTTGTTTTCTTGCAATGTAAAATGAAATTTGTCATGAAAATGTGCCTCTTGATTCCTAACTTTTGCCCGTAAACCACCCACGTTTGGCTATGTAAGAAAATTTTATCCCGTCAAGCTCACACACAGTGCTCTGTCATAAATTAAATACTTTGATTTTAGAGCTTTACGTCAGTTCTGCGAAAGATCTCCAGGGAGGCTGACATAAACCAGCAATGTTCGTTTATCTGAGCAAGAAGATCTCCATACCGAACAACTATCGATTAAACTGCATAGCATGGAATCAGAAGGACGGGTATATTGCAGTGGGAGGAGAGGATGGTCTTTTGAAGGTGTTACGAGTAGACTCCAATGTCAGCGGATCGCACAGCGGCGGAAAGTCCCGAGGCTTGGCTGCGGCGAGCAATCTGAGCATGAATCAGCCTCTGGAGGGTCACAACGGACACGTTCAAGTAGTGACGTGGAACGAGGAGCATCAGAAGCTGACCTCGAGCGATCAGAACGGAGTTATTATCGTTTGGATGCTGTACAAGGGCTCGTGGTACGAAGAAATGATAAACAATCGCAACAAGTCTGTGGTGAGAGGCATGGCGTGGAGCTGCGACGGCCAGAAGATATGCATAGTCTACGAGGACGGAGCTGTGATCGTCGGATCTGTCGACGGCAACAGAATCTGGGGTAAGGAATTGAAAAACGTGTCTCTCTCTGCCGTACAGTGGTCTCCAGATGGAAAATTTCTTCTGTTCGGTTTGAAAAGTGGAGAGCTTCATCTCTACAACAATCAAGGCACATTCCTGATGAAACTAAACATCCCCTCGCTGAATACTTCCCTTCACCAAACTATAGTGGCCCTACAGTGGTACGATGGAAGAAACGGCTACGTCGCCATGGATTGTCCTACTCTAGCTATCTGTTATCGCAACGGTAGGATACTGTTGATGCGGGACACCAGCGACGACAATCCGGTCATGATGGAAACCGGGTTGACTGCCTCGTGGTGCGACTGGAATAGTTGCGGCTCGGTCTTGGCGGTGACGGGCATGATGCCGTTGCTCACTAACGGGGAAACGAAGGACATGAACGTTATACAGTTTTACACGCCATTCGGCGAGCACATGAGGACCCTGAAGATACCCGGACGGGAGGTAACGTGTTGTACCTGGGAGAAAGGGTCCCTCCGGGTCGCCCTGTCCGTCGACTCTCACATATACTTTGCGAACATCCGTCTGGACTACAAATGGACGTACTTCAGCAACACGGTCGTCTTCACAAACGAGAAGGTTGGCAAGGACGGTACCTGCGTGACGTTCTGGAACACGAGTAGCAACACATGTTGCACCAAGTACGTGAGATCTTTGATATCGATAGCCTCGTGCGGGGAGCACTGCGTGCTCTCCGTGAGGAACGATCCCGCTCAGGTCACCGAGCAGTTCGCCCTCCTCGTTTGCAACACCATCGCCACGCCGATAGACTCCAAGTTCCTGGATCTGGAGCCGTTGTACCTCACCATAACCGCCAACATGGTCGTGGCTGCGTCGAAGAACAATTTCCTAGTGTGGAACTTCCGCGCGCCACGCAACTCGACGCTGCACCCGAGCAGGATGCGCAAGTACAAGATCTATCACGTGGACGAGACGCCGACCGGCGTGACCGAAGTTATCCAGGACTTGGATAAGGACGGCTCGTTCGAAACCCCCATTAGCACGAAGGCCACCATGGATCCGATCTGCTGCGTCTACGCCACCGACAAGGTTCTCTTGGTCGGTCGGGACTCGGGGATGATTCAGCGGTACTCTCTGCCACAGATAACGCTCGTCAACCGATACAATACCGCGTGCAGACTACATAGACTCGCTATTAACTGCGACTCCACGCGCGTTTCTATCCTGGACGCCAACGGTATTCTCACTATGCTGGATCTGGATTCGCAAAAGGCGCCCGATTCGCGAGACACGGACACGAGCGAGGATATAACCAAGTTTGAGAGGAAGGATGTGTGGGCCATGTGCTGGGCACGGGATAATCCCTCACTCCTGGCGATCATGGAGAAAACCAGGATGTACGTTCTGAGAGGACTAGACCCCGAGGAGCCTATAGCTTGCTCTGGATATATTTGCTCGTTTCAGGACTTGGAGATACGCTGCGTTCTGTTGGACGATCTGATGCTGATGTCCGACGACATGCGAAAGGACTTGATCGTGGACTTGGAAGTAAAATCTTTGAGAGACACAAGAGAGCTGCTGGCCAAGGTGGGTCTGAAGGAGACCAACAATTTCATCCAAGACAATCCGCATCCGCGTCTCTGGCGTTTATTGGCCGAGTCGGCGTTGACGAAGCTGGACTTGGAAACGGCGGAGAACGCTATGGTGCGCTGCACGGATTACCTGGGTATACAGTTTATCAAGCGTCTACAGAACGTGCACAACGATCAGCTGAAGAAGGCGGAGGTCGCGGCGTTCCTCGGCAATTACGACGAGGCCGAGAAACTTTATCTGGACATGGACAGGAGAGACCTGGCGGTCGCGCTACGCCAAAAGCTGGGCGACTACTTTCGGGTCGTGCAGCTGATGAAGATGGGCATTGGCGGCTCGGACAAGCAAATGGAGCACGCGTATAACAAGATCGGCGATCATTTCGCCGAGAGACAGAACTGGGAGAACGCGAAGGAGTATTACGAGAAAGGTAGAAACTTGGAGAGACTCATTCAGTGCTACTACAAACTGGAAGATTTTGTTCAGCTGGCGGCAACCGTGGATCAGCTGCCGGACAAGAGTCCGATTTTGAAGACTGTGGCGCGGATGCTGGCTTCGGTGGGAATGTGCCCGCAGGCGGTTGCGGCTTACATCAAATACGGAGACGTAAAGTTAGCCGTGGATACGTGCGTGCGTCTGAATCACTGGGACCAAGCCGTCGACTTAGCGAAGACTTACAAGATGGCACAAATCGGCGAATTGCTGAGCAAGTACGCCAATCATCTGTTATCGAACGGCAAGCGTCTACAGGCGATCGAATTGTACAAGAAGGCCAACTATAATCTGGAAGCGGCTAAATTGTTGCTTCGCCTCGCCGAGGAGCAAGCCAGGTCCAAGTCGCATCCCCTGCGCGTGAAGAAGATATATGTTCTCGCGGCCCTGCTGATCGAGGACCACATCAACAGCGTTCCGGCGATAAAAGGCGGCCGCAGTAACGTCGTCATGGGTCTTTCTGAAAGCAACGAAGATACCAGGATCATAGAAAACGCCTGGCGGGGCGCCGAGGCGTATCACTTCCTTTTGCTCGCGCATAGACAGTTATACGACGGCAGTTTTGATGCCGCGATGAAGACCGCCCTGCGACTGAGAGATTATGAGGATATCCTGGAAGTAGAGGACATCTATTGTCTGTTGGCGCTATCGAGCGCCGTTAATCACGCGTTCGCCACCTGCTCGAAGGCCTTCATAAAATTGGAAGGACTCGAGACGATCTCGGAGGCCAAGAAAGAGGAATATGAGGAACTGGCGGTGGACATCTTCACGAAGCACACCCCGAAGGACTCCCGCAACAACAAGGCGGAATGCGTCAACTGCGAGACTCTGGTGCCCGACTGGTGTATCACGTGCCCGAATTGCTCGACCAGATTCCCGGCTTGCATCGTCTCGGGCAAACCGCTCATGGACCTTAGCATCGCGTGGATCTGCACCGTTTGCCGACATCACGTCGCAACGGAACGCGACGTTGTTAACATAAACGCCTGCCCCTTGTGTCACAGCACCGTCACGTATATGTAGGCTAATTCGAATAATTTCGCAATCCGTCCATTTTTTTATTTGCCAATATTTTACACAGATAAACAGCGAGCTTTTGTATTTTGATAACTGTGATGCAATGAGAAGAAAACAATTGGGACATTTCGGTTTTATTCCGAAAAACGAAAAATCGACATTAAATCTATTACATTTGTTGGCCTCCATAATCGGTATACGAATCGAGTATCAATTAATTATGAAAGATAATTTAAAATGAGTTAAATAATTAACAGAGTGCCGTTATTTTCGTGTTTTAATATTGAATAATATTGGATTAATCCTGGAACAGGAATTATTGAGCTCAATTTTAAAAGTATTTTTAAAAGCATGTGAATTTTTCCTTTTGTGCGGGCTGATATATTTTTTAAAACTTCGGGTATAAATAGGATTTTCATCAGCTTTTAACGATGAATATTCGTTTTATTTTTTTACGCTTTATTTTTTCTGCATGTCGGTGATATCGTACTTGATATCGGATGCCAGATCGTATCAATCAGCAATAGGTTTTTATTGAAATAAAACAACACGCGGATCGATAGAAAACTCGGTACACCGTTTTACGTTAAAGCGAGTATCTCCCGACTCAGTGGCAAAATGCAATCTAACGAGAATCTAATTTCAACGGTTTGCCATTGCATATGCATTACCGACATTGTGGCTGTGCGCACCTGCTATTCCGTCCGGAACGTAATGAGCCTTTAACGAGTGCGATCTCGTATTAGTTTTGTCGTGCTTTCAAAGTTTATGCAAGTGCGAATACCATTGTCGCGTATAGTTTTGATATCGCAATTATGCAGCCAGCGGTTTTTATTGTAGACTTGATAATTGAATAACGCAGTTCTGCAATGCGGAACCAACTCCAAAACCTCTTATTCTGTTATAAGAGCAGAATTTCGCGTAACAAAAGTAAAATTCTGCACCAACGTTATCTCAAATATAATGAACTATAATTCTCATCAATAACAATTTCATTGCGTTTTTAGAAAATTTTCTACCCACAATATAGAACAAAAATCAATATAATCAGAACTAAAACACACGGAAATGGCGCTTGATTCCTTATTGCATAACTGCATTCAATTGATATCTCGTTAGCGAGATCATATCGTTTTTGTATGCTGTTATCTCTTCTTGTTAACAATGATAATCAATTATTAATTATAAATTGATATAAAAATAATGATAAATTATATATTTATATAGAGATAAACAAAGAGATGTAATTATTATGACGCAGATATTCGATATCGAAGTAGAAACTCGTTGATCTCTGATTTCTTGCAAATGTATTGTAGAAATAGCGAATATATGATTGTTTACGTAATTTGATATATTCTAATTTGATAAAAATATAATATAATTTGATAACAATCTTATACAACAAGATAAACGATTTCTTTCGTCTTTTAATATTTCGTGATGGAATTTTTATTTAAGTCTTGCTCCTAAACCGTCCACTATAAATTAGTTTGATCTATACTTATATTTTACTTGCAGATATATCTGAATAGTATTAAGCTATTGTTAAGAAAGAAAAGGGAGAGAAAAGGAGAGAGAGAGAGAGAGAGAGAGAGAGAGAGAGAAGAGACGAGAGAAAAGGGGAAAGAAATAAAGAGGCAGCTACAGAGCAAGAATGCTTTTTCGTATATATATTTACAGGTACATCTCTTCATAATTATAATAAATTTTTATTATAGAATATGGAATAGTTACGTAAAAAAAAGTATATAATAAAACTTTAAAAATAAAAACTCTGAAAATATTAAAATATTAAATATTTTCCCTCCGCTATATTAATCCTACATTATTCGTGGTTTTTTTCAACGTAATTACTCGCGTGGGGTGTATTTTACACGCAACATTATCAGGGTAAAAGAAATCGCATTTTCCCCGCGATTGTGTTCGTATCCCGCGTGCGTGAAGTGCGCTACGGTTCCGCCATATTGAAGCATGTAGCAATTGAAGTAGTTGGACTGGAAAGAAGCTTGGCAAGGGCATGAAGGAGCGGAACTTTCGTCTCGGTAAGAAAAGATCGCGTTCGATTCATAGAGATATAAGAATAGAGTGCGTGGAAGCTGTGCATTTAGCGCTTAACGTGCAGGATACGAATGAGCGCGATACTTGGAGATTCTCTTCAGTAATCTGAAGAGAATAAAGCTGTGACGTTGGACCAACAGCTAAAAGAGCATCAGACACGTTTGATCTTGGAAAGATTATACGTTACGGAAGATAAAGAAACACTGAAGCTTCAATTGCAAAAGGAGCTAGAAGCACTAAAATCTAAGCAGCAAAACTTAATTGAAGAAAATAAGAAGCTTATAGCCTAAAAGTACAAGAGTATGAGAAAGTTCGATTAAATATTGAAAATGATTTGAGTGATTTAAGGATCAACGTCAGCAACAAATAACCGAATTATTAAACCAAGTCTCCCAATTAGAAACGTTAAAACTTCAATTATAAATATATTAATAATATAATTATCTCTTAAGACGCATTTTATTCGCGAAAGTTTAAGGCAAATGATGATTATATACGATAGATCCTTCTCTCTTTTACAATTTAAATTAAACTTTAAATGACGCAGATTAAAACATTTATCAACTCATTTTATTCAATGTGTTACAGACGGTCGATAATCGCGCGACGTTATCGACGTTACCCGTTCGATCGATACATTCTCGCCGTTGGCAGCACTGGCGCGCCACTAGCGGGGAGGCCGGGTGCCGGCACTGGCCGTTTCAAACCTGTTACCATCCCGCCGTCCCGGCGCAGGCGCGCCATGCGCCATTCGTCACCGCTCCGGCCGCCGCGCCGGCCGCGCACATTTCGCTTCACGCTTACAGTCTACAATCAGTGCGTCTCGCGCCGACGAAGAGGTCGGTTCTCGTTCCGGAGTGTCTCGCAATACGTACCCACAGTTCGACGATTCACTCGCTCGACTCGGAGATCCACGAGGAATACCCGCCCGGTTGGTTCATCGTCCCGACGACAATTCCCTTGCTCGCGATCGCGAGGGGAAAAAACGCGGGCGCGCGCGCGGATGCGTACGCGAATGCTCGAGCCGCGTAAAAGTGTCATCGTTGCGTCCGTTTCGCCGCCGGCAACGACCGCACGCCGTCGTCGCGAGTAGCAGTGCTCGAAGGATATCGTAGCGGGTGCTCCGTCTTCCTTTCTCCGCTTCCCCCCCCTCTCTCCCCGCCGTCGATCGCGCGTTTCGCTCCGCTCCGTTCCCGCTTTTACGCGTCTCCGTTTCCGCGCGCGGAAGGTGGACGACGCGACGCCGCCGCGAGAATGACGAGTACCATGACGACTCTGTGGATTGTCGCCGTCGCGACGGCCGTCCTCGCGACGACGACGATGGTGAACGCCGCCGGGCTCAAGTGCGACAGTGTCAGGCCGATCTTCGAGGCGCAGGGCTTCCCGCTCAGCGACATCCCCAAGGAGGCCATCTCATGTGAGTAACATTTTCTTAAGTTTCATGTACAAAATAATCGCATTCGCAAAATTCTCCGCGCGATCGCGTGAACTGCGGCGCGCTTTCTCCATATTGTAGCAAGTGGCATTGAAGCAATTTGAACGGGGGGGAAAGAACTCGGCGAAGAGTTGAACTTTCGTCTCGATAAGAAACGATCGCGTTCGATCCCGATCGTCACGTGGAAGCTGCGCATTTAGCGCTTAAGTAACGTGCTCTGATACGAACGAGAGAGACGCGCTTACAATTAGAGGAGCGATTCGTTTAGCCGGGGCTCCTTACGATCGAGCGTCGACCGAGCTTGATATCCGCAGTTAACGAATTCACGTCAATCTCAATTCACCCCTCCGGGGACGAGATCGTATTTTACGTATTAACTCTTTAACGCGCTTAACTCTTTCGACGACACGTTATGCAGACGTTCTTACGCTCGGATGGATACGGGGCTTGATTTATCGGCGCGGATCTTATCGTTATTAGGTCACATTATCTCGTTATCGGCGGCCCGGGCCGTCTCTGATCTTTCCGTTTCCCGATCGGGCGATTAAGCGAGACGCGTCAAGTCAAGTAGCGTCGGATTTTCGAGTCGCCGGTTGGCGAATAATTGAATTAACGCCGTTAGATTATATTAGAGCGGTCGTCTCTTGGCGATGTCGGAGAGAAGATTTACCTGCAAAATTCAAGCGGAGGGAAACACGTATACCTACTCGCGGAATTCCGGCGAAGTTTCTTTATCGCGCGGCGGGGCGACGAAAATACGGTGTAACGCGGAGACGCGTTAACCGTGGAAATCGCGCCGAGCTCCGTAATATGATACACGACGCGCCCTTGCAATTCGTTATCCCGCAAAAATAACCGAGGCGGGTACGTAGAGCAGCCCCGCGTCGCGAGGGGGAGAGAAGAAAAAAAGAGAGAGTCGCGGCGACTGCTTTTAAGACTTCCCAGAATCCGGTTCGCGCGAGCGCCAAGGGTTTTCTGACGAGGCTCTCTTTTTCCCCTCACTCTCTCTCTCTCTCTTCCGTTGATCGGAGCGAGATCGATTCGCTCTTCCTCGATTCGTCCCGAAAATTCGATTTTAATTACGAGGTCGGCGCGCGTCGCGCGATGATTGGGACATCAAAGTTGAATTTATTCATCACTGGAACGCGAACGGGTCTCTCTGAGCCTCGCGAACATTCGTCTGCATGCCGTGTCGAACAACGGGTTTGGCCTTTCGGCGACTGAGATCCTCGGCCGAGTGATTGGCCGATCGCAAGGCAAATACCGAATCGCTTTGACTCGATCCCTTTCTTTTGCCGCATTTTTTTAGGATAATCTTTGAGGATAATCCACAAGTCTCGGGATGCCGATTCTATGGATTTTTCTCTTCTAATTATAATAATCTGTAGCAAATTGCAATGCTGACTGACAATGAATAGCCAAACGGAAAACCATAAATCGCATTAGCGATTACAACAATGGAATTATAACCCGCGATGAATGGAATGTCTTCGACTTTTCGATGACAAATCTCTAGCAGAGATTGTTAATAGCGTTTTTCACTGGCAGAGCTAGTGCGCATTCAGTGCACATTAAAGCCATCGTACACAATCCAACATTATATATAAAGTGTATGTTTAATATAAACGGGTTAAATCATGAAATCCTCAATATTCTTTATTGCACTATTTGGTAAAATATGTACTTGGTATTTTATCAATCGAAATATTTGCATTTTACTTTAAATATTAGAGATTAAATCAGTGTACAACGGCTTTAATGTGCACTGAGTGCGCACCAGTTCTGCCAGTGAAAAACGCTATAAGTTACATTTTCCGAAAATGACAAAAAGAATTGAAGCGATTGTTGAATTCAAAGCTATGCTTTAAAAGATTAAGTAGATTATTATGTACGCAATTATTTGAGTTACAGTACAACGGGATACACCGAATATAAGCACATGTTTTACGACATTTCGAAAAGATGGACAATTCCTGTACGCTTGTACGTCGAGTTTCGCGAACGACGGTTGCGATTACGCCTTACAAACGCAATTGAATCGAAGGAAATTTACTAGGGACCGCATATCGTGCGTTATCGGGAGGATAGACATCAGATAGATAATGATAGGCTACTATTGGCTGGTCGGTCGGTAATTACGGCATGTGTAGGCTATTGAACGTTACCTTCGATGCAGCACCCCTCGTTTTTTTTCTCTTTTTTTTTCGGAGTCGGCAATTATCGAGCGCCAGCTGTTGCGCCGTTGAACAATTTTTTTCAATGGAGGATTTTAAACACGGTCTATGAAAAGACGATTAGCGTTAGGTGGTTTATACAGCCGTAACGAAGCGAGGAAGATATCCCCGAAAATATTGTCCTGTATAATTGTCTCATCGTATGAAAGGGCTTCCTTCGCTTCCTTTGAACTTTCGAGCACGAAATTGATCTCTCGACAAGTTGTCACACGCGTCAAGCTATCCACTATGTCGTAAATTGTAAATAACAGATACATTTTGCATAATTACGCGAAGTAATCGAAAAATAGGAAATTTAAATATTGCATCCTTTAGTCGTGAAATAATTGAATACATGGAAATTATTTAAAGCTTGGAAATCTTTTGAGAAACTGTGCTACATGATTGTATGATATAATTATATTGTCTGTTTGTAATCACGTAATGTTGCTATAATTTCGGAGCAATGCTTGTTTAATTTTCGTCGTTTTTCGTCTCGTCGATATTCGGGAACCTCGACGAATTCTTGACGTGATTTAAAATACAGGGCTTTGGCTGCGAAGAAGAACGAATTACTTTAAAGAGAAGGAAATGTATTGTGTAGGGGTCGATGCGTTAGGACATAAAAGTTGCGGCAAAATCAAGCAGAACTCCGAAGACGCGCCATTAGCAAAGCTCTTTCTTTCGCCAACTTTACTTTTCACTTTCGCGTTCACATTTTCGGGGTTTCCACCTCAAAGCTTACGTTTTCAACTTATTTACGTCCCACCACGTAATGCTAACGAATAAAGTTTTCTGTATCACGATTTCTGCGATCACCGAGTCGCGACCTTTCCTTCAATTTGTATAAAATCTTTCGAATGCTATTTTTGGCATTTTTCAGTAAATTGTAATTTA